ACCGATTATCATCACGATCAGAAGGTGATTGTAGGAATTTAAGTGTTTTATTGCCTTTGAGTGGTAATAAGTTATGACAGTCCAGTCCCATGGGAAAGACGATAAGATATGGCTACAAAGTTGGATAGACTCCAGAAAGCGGTTCCCAGGGGTGATTGACACAGCGTTCGTTCTACAAAATGAAGATTCAATATGATCGGAAATGAAAAAATCGCACCCATATTTGCACAGCGTTTTATCATACAAAGGACTGCCCGCCCTTGAGGGCTCTGCCAGCTCACAGATACACTTCCTTTGTTTCTATATTGTTTCATTTTAATTGTTAGCCTTGATTTTTCTATAGGCATAAAGATGATACAACATTTATATGGCCAGGCCTAGCCCCATTTCTCATTTTCTGCTGTTATCATGGCACATCATTTCCTTGATTGTGCCGCCGACGACCTTGACCGATTCTTGTTTTGTGCAAGCAACATTTCCCTTCTCGAAATTAATGCCAAATGCAATGCAATTAAACAAAAGACAAACATCATTCAATGTCTTGACCAACTTCCTTAATGGCTGGCAATTTGTACAAACGCCTTTCCACCTTATTTTTTTTCTTGCAAATAAAACAAAAATCAACGACAAGAAATATATTGTTTGCGCATGGAGATCCAACAGGTGAGATAGAGACTAAATTTCATAGGAATACTACAAAAAAGTATAAGTATAGAAAAAATATTTAAGAGAATCAATGCAGAACTATCCATTAGGTATGTACATTTCCATCTCTGGTTTTAAATGCCATTTGGAGACTCGGAAAATCAGAATACTATCTCAGAGCCATACACAGAAAATAGTTTCTTATACAAAGATTTGTGCTGTGTTATTGAATTATGAAATTAATCATTCGAAAACCAGTTTATTTGTTGCTGTTTTTTTTTTGTCATGATTTACATAGAGCACACCGAACTGAACCGCAGCTGAGGTTGAGACTGAGACACTTTAAACCCACCAGAGAGCTTGTGGCTGTGGCCTGCCTGCCTGCACCGCCGACAAACATTTTGCTGCGGGTGGGAAGGGCAGGGGCTCCGTAGGAGATTTTTCCCTCTCCATCGCATCGGTTGTGCTTTTTTTTTTTTGGTGCGGCGCTGTTTGCTTTGACCCTGAAATTGCCATAAATACATTAAGCAAAAGCGTAGCGCACATATGTGAAGTTTCCCCTCCATCATCGCCCGCCCAGTCCCTCTGTCGGTGTTTTGTGTTTATACAAATTAAACATTTAAAGACCAAGCAAAGGTACAAATGCCATAAAAAAAGCGTTAACAATTGGATACCAATTTTCGCTACCATTGAAGTGAAGAAGTAATGCGTCACTTTGAAAATTCAAAGTAACAAAAATAAAGCCTCGCTAGAGGTTGAATAGCCCCCGAAAAATGCTACAGAGAAATAAATAGTTCAAGGTTCAAGCCTTCGAGGGTTTATGAACCATATGTATGACACACACTAATAATAGCTCAATAGCTGTGTATCTTTGCGTTGGATTGACAGTTCATCGAGTGAGTTATCCGAAATATGTTTCCCATTTCGGATCAATAAACTCAAACGAACACAAAGAGCGGATGATCTTTCAGGGTCTGGTTATTGAACATGCCAAATATGTGCTACTAGCTCAATAAATATTTAGCTTGTGATTGACAGCTCACATCAGATGAGATTTCCTCGCTATGTTTCCTTATTATTTTCTCATTACGGGGAACAATATTTTTTGTTTTTTAAATAAATATCTTTGAGATATTCCCTATTTTCCAATGTACATATTTTCTATTCTTGAATATTTCCTTATTTTGAATTAGTAGCCTCAACATCCATTTGGTTCTAAACGATTCTTAGCTCTAGGCGAGCCAAGGATCCATTGTGAATATATTAAATAATTTCTTGTAATTTATCGATTAATAAAACTCCATTTCACCATTAATCCCATTATAGAAAAATTATTCTAAAGAAGCTCGGGGTTTGGGTGGCTCATTTAAGATCTATCATTTATCTTTTCTTTCCCGTTCACCTTAGAAGAGATCTTAGAAGATGTGCCATACCTGATTTATAGAACTTGAATAACTAACTTTATGCGCGATTCTTCGTCTTTGTTTGATTCTGCTCAGCTGCTCATTGATTAGGCGACAGGGGTCAGTACAATAAATACGTATACGTTTATTTCTGCGTATATTTCTGGCGTTCAACTGAAACATAATGAGAAACCGGAATTTTTGGCTTCCATTCGATTCGAGAACAGGTATACTATACGGCGGGGTAAGCGTATGTGGTCTTTGGGGCATGCAAATGATTGTCGCGCAGCTCCTTAACTGACAAAAGAAATTCCGTTACGTTACAAATATTGTTATAAGTTTTTATGAAAAAAAAAAGAATGAGTAAGTGGCCAAGTATGTTAACAGCCCAACGACGCGGCCCGGCCCGGCCCAAACACAGCTGTGGATTATGCAAATCCATTTGGGTGGCAGCTATCCGAATGCGGGGCACTTGTCAGTGGCTGTGGCAGGAGGAGATCATTGGGTTGATGTTGGCCAATTGCAAGGTCATTGGTTGCCACACAGCAAAAACAGACATCACATCAATAAGCACTTCAAACAGAAAGATGAGCACTGCAAATAAAGCAGATGATGCCTTTGTTCGAGAGGGGGAGAGAGACACCACTCCTATAACGAGGAGAAGCCATCCCATGGACAGAGGAAGCGACTTTCCACACACACACACACACACACACACACGCTGATGGTCATGTCAGGTTCAAGTAATGTCTGAAGTCTTGACTCAAAGTCGCTTCGGATCCGTCAGTCAACGAGAGACAGAGAGAGATATAGAGATCTCGGAACGGATTGGGGTTCGTCGGATCGGGCCTCGAGGTTCAATGAACGTAATGTAATTTACCCCGAGACAGAGAGAGAGCTACTCCTCCTCCCTGCTCAGCTACCTCCTCCTCCTACGGTGTGTGTGCCGGCCATTACTGTTAACGAAAACAAACAACAGTTAAAGCGAATTCAACAACAGGCCAAAAATTAAATATGCCAAAGGCCCCCCCACCCTCTAAGCCCCCCCTCTTAAATACGAAAAAGGAAGCGTTCTGAATTTTTCGCTTCGATTTAAATCAAGTCTAGAAGCACCGCCGCTCTCCCTCCATCTCTCTTGACGTTGATTTATCCGAGAGTTTGTTCGGGGCATTTGGGGGTTTGGGGTTGGGGTTTCGTTATTCCGAGTAGTCAATCACCTTTCGGGCTCTGACTGTTTATAGGAAGTCAATAAAATGCATTAAAATCATTTCGTATAAACATTAAACAGCGTCCGGAGCTGCAACCATTATTTACTTTTGTTTTTATATTTTGTATTTTGATTTATTTATGGTTTTCATTGTGGGGGACTGTCTGCTGCTGGCTGTCGGAAACTGCTCGAGAATGCCGCTGATTGCTGAATGTAAGCTCAAGATCTAAGCTTTATGGCTAGGCGCTGTTCTGATGGCGGTAGCAGCATCGATTATGTTCGTATATGGGTCTGCGGAGACAGGTCCGGTTTTAGATCGTGATAAACGTCAGATAAATGAACTCGAGAGCTCCAACAACAAAAAATATACAGAGGCAAACAAAATGCAAACAAAAAACGCGACAAAATTCAAAGCCAAAAGACATTATCGGCTTAACAGAAGTCCGTCTGCCCCGTCGGCCCCTCCCATCAGCGGACAGGCCAGACCCTATTTGTCCCATTAACACAGGTAGCTGGTAGCTGGCAGCTGCTGACATAATTGCAAAAGGCAACAGCAAAATATAAGCTGAGGAATGTCCCCAAAGGATGTTGGCAATTAAAAGTTCTTTAAAAAAAAACATACTAAATACTGAAGTTTTATGGCAGAAAACCATAAAGGAAGGTTACACTCCGATGATACGAATTTTAAAATACCCTGGAAGCGAGAAAATCAACCAGTCCTGACGTTGGAAGTGGCGGCATCAATTTACCCCGTACCCAGTTTGTTACTTTCAAATACAGTTTTGACATAGTAATCCGAGGCTTTTGTTCATTGAAACTGCATGGTGGTATATTGTTTTTGCTTCTCGAGACCGAGCCTCGGCCATTAAAACTATTTTTCAACCTTCTTGTGCGCTCTGGCGCCAGTTCTCGAAGCATAAATCTGGAAGCACTGGAAGGGAGTGCCTTTGGGGTTGTGGCAGATCCTTTCTTCTGTGCATTTCAAACGTCTAACTAATTTTTTTTATTTTTAATACTTCAAGGGTAAAGAATTAAGTGCATAAAAACAGGTTTCAAATTTACGAACGGGTTTAACTATCACACAAAATCAACTTTTATCAAATGTATACAAACTTCCTCTATCAAAATTAATTTAGATTAGATGAGATGTGTGAAAAAGTGTTAATTGTTTGCCGAACATAAAGTTTCCACCGTGTAATGGTATTACTCATCCGAAAGACTGGCACTTACTCAAGCATCAGGGGAGGGATAGCTAGAAAGTTCTTTTAAAATGAGGCCAAAACTCTTGGGGCACAAACCCTAAATCAACAAATGCCCTGTAGATCGCTGCTGAAAACTCTCGGAGCAGCAGCAGCAGCAGTTGCACAACCCGGCGCTTGAGTTGCCTAATGAGTCGTCGTCGTCCGACTATTTGGACAGAACCGCACACAGAGCACATACACACACACACACAGATCGTTCATAAGTAGGGGCGGTGTGCTTGACCAAATTTGGGAGAGAGATCTTGAACCGAATCGTAGCGGCACAGCGCCAAGAAATACAAAAACAACGAGAAATAAATTGAAGAAGGAGGCATGGGGGGATTGGACTTAAAAATGAAGTGCGGACAGAACGCTTAGTCAGCAGCTGGAGAGAAGAGGAGTGGACGTGGACGTGTACCACACCACTCAAGGCCTAGGCTCCAGTTTCCGCATACCGCTTGACGTATGCCGTATGCTAAATGCTGAAGAGACACTCACTTATACTCACACGTCGTGGACCCCAAGTGCTCGGACCGACGGCGCTGCTGTTGTTGCTGTGGCTGCTGCTGCTTGTTGTGGCATGTGTTTCTGTGATTGTTGTTGTTTCCCATCTGACGATGGCAACAGCACGCGGTCGGGATAGAGCGGCTTGGGAGCCCACGAGGCAGCTGCCACATAGATGTCCGTCCGGGGAGTGGATGGACTCGTCGTCTCGGGTTCGGGAGTGCCCGCCGCATAGCTGTAGTACCCATCCTCGGGCTCGTCCACCACCGAAAGGCGATGCTTTGACTGGGCCACGCTCTGGTGGTCATCACTGTAGAGATACTCGTGCATGGAGCGGGCGTACTTGGTGCTCTTGCGCCTCTGCTGGGCGGGAGTCAGCTTACAGCTGCTGCTGCTGTGCTCGGGCGATGCCCGGATCCAGGAGCTGGCTGGCACATACTGCCGCTGCTGGCGGCTCTGAACCAGTTTGGAGAAGTCCACGTAGAGCGACTCATCGGTGGCAGGCTTGCGCTGGAACTCGTCGGCATGAATGTCCTCCACATCCTCGTATCCGTCGCCGTAGTCGTCATCATCGTCGTGCGGCGTGGTGGCAGCGCCCACAGAGCTGTAGAAACTATAATTGCTGGAGGATTGCGAGTAGGAGCGATTGCGATTGCTGCCATAGAACTCCTCTTCGAAGGGCAGGCCCTGGGGGAACTTGTTCGAAAAGGCCTTCTTCAGTCGCGGCGAGTCGTGGGAGTCGCTGGAGCCGGTCGAGGAGCTCCCGCCGCCAGCACCATTGCTGGTGGTGGTGCACCCATTACGCTGCTTGAAGCTCAGCTTGGGCGTGGCCGGCAGCTGCCTACGCTGTGACAGAGGAGTGGCAACGACTCCTCCTGCTCCTCGTCCTGCTGTGAGATCATTGGTGGTTTGCCTGCTGCGCCCGGCTGTGGCTGTGGCTGTCGGTGGCTGCGGTGCCGGATAGTTTTTGCTGGAGCGCTGCGTGAGGCGCGCCCCTGGGCAGTTCTCCTTGGCGGATTTGCCCGCCGTCTGGTGGGTGCGCTTCTGGCTCGTGGGTGTCCCCATCTGGCTGGGAACTGCTGCTGACTGATACTGTTTTCTGGCAGTGCTGGGCGTGGGTCCAGGACGTGGTGGCGGTGGCAGCTGCTGGGCGCTGCTCGGTGGCTGTGGTGCCCTCGCCTTGCCATGCCGCAACGTGGCGGACGAGCAGGTGGTTTCAATTCTCCGAATGAGTTTCGGTGTCAGCGGTTTGAATGTGCTGCTGTTCACTCCCAATCTTTGCTGGTGGGGACTGGGATTAGAGCAGCTCCCCTCCTGCTGCACTTTGTGGCGGTTGTTGCTGATGCTGCAGTAGCTGCTGCGCCATGGCTGTTGGCGTACGAAGTTGCCCCCACCGCTGGCTGGGGCGGCTGCCACTCCCTGCTGGTGAATCGAGGATGATGAGGACGAGGATGAGGCTGCTGTGTTTTTGCTCCTATTTGGCCCTGCTGGTGCTCCAGCACCTGGCGCTGATTTCACCATTACACGTGTGTTAATGTTGGCTCCATTGCTGCTTAGTGGCTGGGAGGAGCCCACAGATCCTGCCACTTGGCCATTGGGACTATTGTTGTTGCTGCAACTGCCGCGCGGCACTCGAAAGGAGCTATATGGCCGAAAGCCATTGCCATATTGCTGTCCAACGATAGGCATTTTGTTAGCTGTTGTTTTTTTCTTCAATTTGTTGTTATTTTTTTTCTTATTTGTTTCGTTCGCTTTTCTCGGTTTAATTATTCGTAATTTCAGTTGATCTTTCCACAGTTCGATGTGTTGGGCGTTGAAATTTAAGCTGCTCTGGGAAGCATTTACTTTAAACGCGTGCGCTTTGTATGTAGATCGTTTCTCTATATCTTTATCTTTACTACTATATCTTTATCGTTATCATTTGTTTGGCATTTCCGCGGCATTCAGCTGCTTAAATTAATTGAGTTGAGATTGTGTTTTAGATCTAATTCCGAATGCTGTGCACACACTCCGCCTGTCCCCAACGTACTACACCCCAGCCAGTCACAGAGACAGAGGCAGAGGCAGAGGCACAGCAGAGATCCGACGATCCCTCGGCCCGTGCCTTGACTTTTTTTTCGCTGTAATTAACACATTTTCAATGCGCCCAAACCTAACACCCACCCCTACACCCCATTGCTGAGTGGCCTCCTTTGGGGGCGAGACTCTGGGCCCTGCATTTATGCGACTTCTTCTTGGCCGCATTTCTCATTTCTGTTGCTTCAGCAGTAAGCGGAGGGTAGGGCCCGGGCCAACAATTGAATTAGCTGCTGCTCGAAAATAACCCTGAACCTTGGCTGCAATTTTAGCCCGCACACAAATCCAATTGGCAAGTTCATTGATAAGACCCCCAGACCGGAATCCGCATCCACAAAAGGCCCCACCGGCCGAACCGCCTAACCAGTTAATGCTTTATGCAATGCCACAGCCAGTGCCAAGAGAAATACGTTAGTAGAAAGTGTCTGCAGCACAAAGACCCAGGCAAACAGCACACCGAACTGGCCAACAGGTCCTCCTCCTCCTCTTTTTTGTTGTCTTCTACTCCTCCTCCGACCAGTTTTCACAATTTTTACTTTTTTAACCTGATTCAAAAAGGAAACACAAGTCTTGGTCCGCCAGAGCAGCAAATGGAAAGAAACGCTGAAGCATTTGGGATACCCTTTTGGATTTTTCTTTCTCATTTATTTTTATTTTTCTGTTATTTTTCTTAGCGTTTTCTTTTTGTAAACTTATTTCAGCCCAAACACAAGGGTTCCGTTCCGTTCCCTTCTTTTCTGGAACTAAAAACATCTGTTCCCTCCTCTTCCCCTTCTATTCTCACTTCAAGGGTACAAAAAACAGTTGCGAACAAATGTTGGATCAAACCAAAACAATTTGTTGCGCAGAGGCTGTGCTGAGTCAAACGGCGACGCCTGAAGACCCCCACGAGCCACGGAGTGAGTAATTCATATCTATCGGAAATGCGTGCAAAATCCCTTGCACAATAAACAACAATAAAACACGATCAAAACACGTCCGGTCTCAGTTTCGGTCGCCCAACTGCAACTACGTTCCAATCTCCTACGCTCCCACACTCTGCTCTCCGATAAGACGGATCGTCATAGTTACTGCGATATCTTATCGGACCTTAGTTAACCCAAAAGTAGCCCAAAGTCGTTCCCCAAAGTGTGTGCACAGCCGTAGGGGGATCACTAAATATGACGAGTGTTTGTTGTTGTTTTTAAATTAAAAATTCCATGGGGCGAAATATTGAATATTTTTTTTTGCCCAGGATGCACAGTACACAAATCACACGCGAATATTCGTTTGGCCACTCAATATGCAGTGCACACAGAAACACACACTTGACAGCTGCATTTGTTAAAGATTATGAACAATATTTTAGCCGATTCTTGAGAGCTTGAGGCCTTACTTTTTTTTATATTTTCTATATAAAACACTTTTCTGTTGGGGTTGCACAGCGGCGGCGACGACGACCGAAGAAGGCAGCAGCAAGCACCTCCATTCATTCGCGTGCAAGTTTTCGGTTTGATTTCGTTGGGGATATGTTCGCAGCGAACAAGTGTCGGTTGGGGCCCGCTGCTCGACTTCGCTGCTCACACAAACACACAGCCATGCATACATGCACACATTTCCAGTTTACAGTTGATCGATCGAGCATGTATGTTGGTGGTGTTGGGTCTCCGTCTCTGACGCTGAATTCGCCGTAACAGAGACTGAGTCGCCTTCGCCGCAGAGCGACCGCGATGCGTGATACGAATTTCTTTTTGTAACAATTTACATAAAAAACTGATTGAAATTGAGAATTAATCAAAAGCAATAAAATGCGAAAAGCGGAAGAACATTTCAGACTATTTCCACATGGACAGATTCTGTTGTGATTTTTCATATTTGGGCTGCATTTTGAGACATTTTTGGGATACTTCCGCGTTGCAGCAACCAGACTTTGGCAATTAATCTGCCGACTGCCGATCTCTCACTCTCTCTCGCTCTCTCTTTGGTTCAAGAACACTTATTAAGCGTGTTTTATTGCAAAATTCAAAAGGTTAATAAACAATGCCGAGTGGCGCACATGAAAAACGTCATTTTATCGCACAAAGAAAGCAACTGTGGCTGGTGTCTGTTGCTGCTAGTGGCAGATAAATTGTTAAATGAGACAACTCCCCTGTGGCGGGGGAGGGAGAGTTGTTGGATGCTGCTCTTTATCTGTGGTAATTCCTAAAAAGGCCAAGCCAAGTGCATTAAACAATAATAAATGCGACAACATCGTTGCGCCTCACTGCGTTGTCTGCGCGCGTTGTTTTGAGTAATATGCAAATACGCTTTAAATACGCAGGCGCATAAATTAAGGCAAGGAAATGCAGCAGCAGCAATGGACAGACGATACAGACACCCCGCCCCACCAGGATCGGCACTCCCACCACCTCACCCTACTGCAATCCCATACGTCCCAAGTCCGCCTCCGAAGGGGGTCAAACGCACAAAGAAATCGCTGAATCTGAATCTGACTTAATTTACAGTAAGCCGACTGAAGAGGATGACTCTCCCATCACACTTGGCCCCCAGCCACAGGCTGACTGTCCGACTGTCCAGGAACAAGCGCAAATTTCACTTGCCTTTTATGGCCAAATGTTAATTTGTCTTACGGGCCATGACTGCTGCTGCTGCTGCTTGGCCATTAAATACACGACTGCCTACAAGCCATTGAAAGAAAGCGAGTCCAAGGAGTCCCCACCAACAAAAGCTGCGTGGGCAGGACACTCTGACTGGATTGGACACTGCCACTGACACCGACAGCGACACCCTGGAAATAGCCATGGCTCAGCAATGATGACTGCTTGGGAATACCCGTGGATCGGTAAGTAGACCCTGTTCGACAGCAGATAAACTTATATCTTCCGGGAAACACTTTTCCCCAATCATATTTTGTGTGAAACAATTTAATGGTACTGTTTTTTTGTTGTTGTTTTTTTTTGTTTTTTTGGAAGAAGAAAAGAGATTATTGAAGAAAATTTACTATAGAAGAACACATAAGATGGTACCCCCAAGAAAGTGAAAAAAAGATTCTCATATGCAGAAAATACACAAAAAAAAAAAGGCACAGAGATCTCAGCAGATCTTACAGTCCATCTTGGCATATTATTCAAATATAATCCAAATAAATGAACAATTTATGGCAAAAACAAACGGTGATAGGAGAGAAGATTCCTTCAAAACTTTGGTAGAAACCCCTTTGCAACTAAAACTGCTCAAACCAGAGAGAAAATCTAATATTCAGTATTCTAAAAGGTCAAATACAACAAAAATCAAACACAAAACAAAATAAAAACTTACGTGGGCTCCTTGGGAATGGGGATGGCGTTCTTGGCATCTAGCTCGTGCCTCCTTCGCTTGGCCGCGGACCTGGTGTGATGTGTCTTGGTAATGCGCGGCCTGTTTATGAAAATTGGAAATAATAATAATTGAAATATGCCAATGATCGCCACCTAATACAACAACCAAACTGACTCTCGCTCGAGAGAGATGGAATAGAACTTACGGCGACGGTGCTTCTGGCATGGGTGGCGAATGGTCGGCAGTGTCGAGTCGTCTCCGCTTGTCTCGTGTGCCGGCCGAGGAGCGATCCCTTGAATGGTGGCGTCTTCGTGTTCTGGGCATCTTTAAAAATCGAGATTCAAATCCGGATATAGTACAAATATCTATCTGAATGAATTTTGAGGCAAATGATACTGTGATGTGAATTGGACAAAGCAGGCAGCTGCCTGCCACCGCCTCCCCTCCCTCCATCAATACTCCGTGCAAAGGTGAGTAGAGTGGGGGAAATACAGCTGGCACGCCATGTACATGCACATACACCCGTCCACACACACCCATGTACATATATAAATTGCAATGCTGTTCGTGTGGGGAAATCAGCCCACAATGCACACATTTTTGGGGGGGAGGGGTGGGTGGCAGGCAATGCAAACATTTCGGAGAAACTTCAACTATATGCTAAAACTACCTTTCAACTCTGGCTATTGGTTTTAGCACGCGGAGACACTCTTAGAAAGCCAAAAAAGCAGCGCGAAATTGATTTTTGTTGTATTGTCTTTGACCCAGCAGCGCGTCCAATTTACGCAGCTGCTTGTGGAAGCGTGTGTTGGACAATTTTGTTTGCCCACGGCCGGATTTCGCAACTCTACCCTCGGGGGGTGGCTTTACTATTTGGTGCACCACAATAGCCACCGATCACTGGGATAATTACAATCCTTTCTACGCAAATTGTGTTTTTTTTTTCAATAAATTCACGTCACTTGGTTATTAAATTCACCACGTCTGAGGCCAAGAGCTGCCATATTGGTTTGCCGAAGGCAGCAGAGCTGCCAACTCGTCGGAAAATTGTGCACGCAAACAATATATATATTTTGTTTTTGTTTTTTATATAGTATAAAGCGGCATTTGTTTAAACGGATCTAAATGCAGCTGCAGTTTCACGATTCATTTCAATCGTACATCACACAAAATGATATTACCACTCTTTCCAATACGAAGTGGCAACACTGCTGCGCGCGTGTTTGTTGCAAATCAGCCGTTCACCCGATTTGTTGTTCGTGTGTGTGTGTGGCTCTGTTTGTGCCATGGATATCGGGCAGGTAGCGGCTCTTGTGGCCAGCTATCATGAATGGTTAGGCTTACTTTGCGTTGATTTTCCGCTATCTTACCTCTTCTGCTTTCTGTGGTTCGTACTGCGTTGTATCTGCTGGCTTTGGAGGGGGCGCTGGCAGCGCTAGATATGGCGATTTGGGCGAATACAGGCGTTTCCACAATCCTTTCAAGAGTTGGGTTAGCGATTGCCAGGATATATTTGCTGGCTGTGCGATGCTCGAGTACATGAGTTGTTCCTTTGAATGAATGCAGCACAGGTGATGATAGCACTAGTCCGCCCGCTGCGGTATTGGTTGTCCTAGGGTTTTGGCGCACTTTTGTGCCTGTCTATTCTGGCCGACGCAGAGTCCATATATTGCACATTAGCTTCTCACAGACGGCACTCATCTCGAATGCTTGGCTGGGCATCATGTTTGTTTATTTGCTGTACTCTAATTGATACGCTTGCTGAATTATTGCAAGGCAAAGCAAATTGAATTTTCAGGAAAACGAAGCGTCGGCCGCCGAACTAGAGGTGGAGAAAAGCTGCGACATCGATGATTTTTTTTAAACATCGATGTTTTTAGAATAAAATTTCCATATTTTAATGATTAAAAAGTTGATTTTTAGTTGTATATATTAAATAATACAGCTTGATGAAATTTTGATATGCCACGCTTATTATAATAATTTAATGAAAAAATAATTGTACCTTCACGTCCCTTCGGAACATAATGGGTTAAGCTACACAAAAATGTTAGAAACATCGATGTTTCATCGATTTTTTGGTCTGAAAATATCGAAAACTTCAATGGAAACTGCACGTTTAAATATGTCTAGGCGGCAACCATACCATACATACTGTATGGTTAGTGGCGGGAACTATTTTGTATTGCCATTCCATGTTTTTAGGGCTGCATTTGAAAACTATCGGCCTGGAAATTTGCGGATTATTTAAATACCAGATGATGGTGTTTTGGTATATTGTGAAAATGAGACGGTATATTCGGTATATTTCTGCAGCCCTGCCACCCTGAAAATGCAACCCTGCCTCGCCATCTTTCTTTTTCGATTCCGCACACCGAGTGACAAGGTGAGACAATAATTTTTTGCTAAATAATATGAAAAAAATGGATATTCAATAACAAATATGGTGAAAATATGTGATCGAGTGTGCACTGAATGTTCGGAGCATGAAATGCCAAAGTCTCAACGCATGAGAAATGTTGAAATGAGTGATTGAATCGGCACACGTGTTTCGCTTTGCTACGCCTCTGCTACAATGGAAACTAATTTGTCTCTCTATCGCCGTTCGGTTGCAGATCGCGTCAAGATGCAGCTTTTCGTACGTGGATTTGAAACCATTGAAGCTTTGGAGGTGTCCCAGGATGCCACCATCGCTGGAGTCAAGGTGAGTACAGACGGCTACAACAACAACAAAAAGAGCAGTAGAAGCACAACCCTAACCTAATTGTTGTTTCTCGGAATGCAGAACCAGCTCGCCCAGCTGCATGGCTTCAACGCCGAGGAGGTGAGCCTCAACTGCGAGGGCACCACTCTGGCCAACGAGACGCCCGTGACCGCGCTCAGCTCCTTCGAGCTGGACATCAACATTCCGATGCTTGGTGGTAAGGTGCACGGTTCTCTGGCTCGTGCCGGTAAGGTCAAGGGACAGACCCCCAAGGTGGAGAAGCAGGAGAAGAAGAAGAAGAAGACCGGCCGCGCCAAGCGCAGGATCCAGTACAATCGCCGCTTCGTGAACTTTGTCCAGGGCTTCGGCCGTCGTCGTGGCCCCAACGCCAACTCCACGTAAAGTGTGAATCCCGTGTCTCTGGGATGATGAACAAGTCGCTATCGTTTAATGCATAATGATGTTCATAAAGTAATTTTCAAGAATTAAACAAACTATTTTACAAATTTTCAAGTTGTAACCCGACGCCACTCGTCCGTGTAATGTTTCTCAATTGGTGAAAACGGTCGGCTTGCGACTCTCGCTTTGGACGTAGAGGCGATAGAACCAGTACTCGATGCAGCCAACAAATAGAGCCACAACAAAGCCAAGCAGCAGCACCAGAAAGCAGCCCTGCATGTCATCCATGTTCACCTTGTGATTCGTGATCTGCCTGAGGATGCTCCTGCCATTGCACTTGTCCGCGCTGGGCAGATTGGTTCTGTGCCAGCGCTCGATGAAACCCATGCGAAACATTCGATCTATGTGCTGATTGATCAGGTGCAAGTAAGCGCTCTGCGAGGGCATAATCATGGCTATCTGCTCGTCCACAAAGCTCTCCTTGCCCAGGGCAAAACGGCACTCCTTGTCCCGCTCAAAGTGCTGCTGCACAACCAGCTGCAGATTGATGCGCCAATCGATGTTGATGCGCTCGCCACGCTTCACCGCTTCAATATCCTCGGCCTGGCCATTGTTGTAGATAATCGCCCTGGCCAAATAGTTTTTGAAGTCCTCGCGCGTCGTTCGTTGCACGTACTTCTCGAAAAAGGTTCCGTTTCGTAGGCCATATTGTGTGATTTCGTTGTGCCGCTGCAGCTGATTCAGATAGTCAACGCCCGGCTGGAACTTGGGGAACGTGAGGAAAGCCACTAGGTTGCCGCAGTACGTGGTCACCAGCACAATCACCACAATCCACCAGAAGCCCACCACCAGTCGTCCGCTGTCCGCTCTTGGCAGGTACATGCCACCTGTCCCATATCCAGAGATGTGTGATGGTTTTTGTTTTTGAGTTGATTTACTCACCCTGTTGCAGCAGCGCCCCAAAGATGTACCAGAAGCAGCTCTTGACCGATGATAGACCGTGGATTTGGAGCTCTTGCAGCGGCGCAAGGCGATTGATGGCATACAGCATGGGTGCCGTCAGCAAGATGATGCCCACCAGGCATCCCCAGGTCTCTGTGGTAAACGGCGCCGTAAACAGATAGATGCGTGACACCTCATCCGGCTGGCGGGTGATGAAGGAGTACTTCTGCACGCTCACCGGCTTGGTGTAATTGAACGGCTTCTTATCGGCATCCTCAACGGTGGCGGCCACTGCGGCCATGAAGAATTGATTGCCCTGAACCATTTCCACCACGCGATAGGGTATGCCAAAGGTCATTGAACCCAACAGTTCGTCCTTTGAAAGAAAGCAAACCGCTGAGTCGAAACTGCTGCAACCAGGGTGGTGCTGGAGCGGGGGAGGGAGGGGTCTTTCACTTACGCTTTCGTTCGTGTTCTGACTGAGGGAATATGCATCCTCATAGGATGTTGCCTCGTGCAGGTAATAGCTAAAGTTCAGGGCCCGACTCAGCTCCTTCAGTATCTCCAAGACAATGCCCTTGTGTTCGACAATGACGCCTTGGCTGTTCTTGGTGAGTATTTGCCAGGGTGGGTTCTACGCGCAAATTGAAGCCAATATATTACGGATATACGGATTATATTCCTGATTCAAAAGTCTCTCACATGCATCGTCACAATGTCCATGGTGATATTACGGAAGTGCTGCGCGATGTGCGGGAATGTTAGCTCATGGCAAACGAATCCCAGCAGTGGGCTCCAGTAGCCAAAGTTGACAAACTCAAAGTTCTGGTTCCTGGCATCCCTCGTGGGAGCTAAGAGTTCCAGCTGATGAACACCTATGGCAGCAGCTTAGCCTGGACTGGACTCACCTGTGCGAAATTGTCGATTCTCCTGGCTCTTGCCCCAGGTGATGGCTGTCTCAAATCTCCAGCGGGCACAGCTGGCGCACTTGCTGTTGGTCTTGAGGTAATCCTGCCAAACATTCGGTATGTATTGAGCTTGTTAATACATGAAAAAAAAAACGCTTGAGCATTACCTTCATGTACTCTAGAATCTCATTCTGCCTTTCCTGCTTGGTGGAACGTATGGACTCCCACTCCTCATCGGAGATCTCACCGTATATGGACTGCTCCTCGATCGTCATCTGGGAAATGGCCGTCACCAGAGCCAGACTTACCTCGGATATCGTACAGTTGAGCGTGTCCATGCACTCGGTCTTCGTTTCATTCAGGGCAAAGGCTATATTGGCTCCCTCCGCCAGATTGATGGTCACTGTGCTGGCATCGAAGCTCTGACGCATATTGTCCAACACAAAGAACATCCACTGATTGCCCACATGGAACATGTTCATTGTCTCGCCAATCTCTATGATGTCCTCGTAATATTTGGACACAACGAGGAACTGTTGGTGCTTCTGCTCGTGATTCATTGGCGCAAAGTGGGAGAGCGCATGACGCAGTGCCGCACGTTTATTCTGGCCCCGCAGCGAGTCGTCAATCTTGTAGAGAATCAATGATATTGGCGCTATGTGATTGGTGGTGCTCTCGTGCACCACGGACTTGATCAGCTCGGAGTTCTCATCCACTGAAATTAAAATTTGATTTCATTGCTGGAGCATTTGAGAGACTAGTCATAAGTACCCACTTATGGATTGATCCACCAGCACTACTGCCGTCTTCCAATTGAGAATCTGTTGTACCTTGGCATCGAGTACGATCTGCGGCAATTCATCGCCATGCTCCACCAATGGCACCTATGCAACAAGGCCAATGGGATTGGATTGCCTGACAATATGTAGGGATAATGTATGGCTCACCATCAAAGCTTTATTTATGGGCAAACGTGGACAATCGGAGTCTGTGATGGCAATCAGCAGCACTGACGTCTCCTGTGTGCTTCTGTAGAAGTTCCAGGTGTTTGCACAGTCCGACACCGTAATGGCAGCCAGAAAATCTGCGATATATGCTCACATACATAGAGCAAGTGTGTGCCACAGAACAACCTCAGTTCTTACCCTTTTTTAAGCGCACCGCATTCCAGCGAAAGTATCGCACATTGATGCCTCCATGCTTCATGTTCTCTCGCACGATGTCGCTGAGGATTTTCTCGAAATGGGCCATAATATTCTGGCCGTGTCTGGTCATGTACTCATGGTCCACCACAACAGCTAAACACAGCTGGATTAGTGGAGACTGGGCTTTAACCACCGCTCAAACAGAACTCACCCAGTGATGCATTGGCACTCAGAAATGAGGAAAAGTCATTAGCCGCCACGGGGACCGAAAAGACGTAGAGCTGAAATCCGAAAAGGAGCAGAAGACAAACCGATGACCTCATGCCGCCAGGATAACTGAAAGGCAACTGCGAGCGGCAAGACAGCCCAGCCAACGAGGTAACCTCTTTCTGATAACACAAATTCCAATTAAAAACCCTGGCGATTGGACGACTGCATGCAGCAGTGCCTCAGCAGTGCCTCAGCCGTGGGCAGCGCGTGCAGGGCCCATGAAAAATTCATTGCGGGGGAGAAGGTGAACTGGGAATCGGCTGAAGGCAATGATTGACGGTTTGCGGTTAGGCGTCGGACAGGCACACACATCAAGCAACGTTCAATTGGTCGCAGGTGTTCATCAGATTGGGTATCCATATCGAATTTGGGATTGGGGGGCGGGGATTCGTATAAAGATTTTTTGGTGATGATATTTTTGTTAACTTGCTTTATTTAATTATAAGTAATTTTATGAAATTGTTTTCTTTTTTGTTGTTGTCATAATTGCCTGTATGCGCGATAATTACATTTTACAATCTTACAATAACTTGAGGATGAGGGCAGTTAGAGGAGGGGGCGGGGGAACTAGATAGAAGGGGGAGGGGTAGGGTGGTATTGTATATGTCTAAGCTAAAAGTTACAGTTCACTTAGGTTAGATCTACCGACTAAGGTCCGTTGAAAATATCGGAATTTTATCATCGCTTTTGTTTTGTTTTGTTTGCTGGTGTAAATTGTGTCCAGACATCCTAAGGGGAGATACGAATACGCTGATCTTGTTGTCTGTATTATGGGCTTTGTATATATATGCTTTTCTCACGTGTGTGTGTGTGTGTGTGTGTGTATGCATGTGTGTATATATAATTTAGCTACAATTACTTCTATAGGTCAATTCCCAAAAATGCTTTCAAATATAAATGCAATACGATTCGATTTCGATTTGTTGTAAGTTGTTGCGTTGTTGCGTTGTGGTTCCTTTAGTGTTTTTTGTTTTGTTTTCTTTTAGTTTATGTATATATGATTATTACGTGTATTATACGAAAAGGGAGTATAAGTATGTATAACCATAAATATACTACGAATTAATATACATACATACATGTGTATATATCTGTCATATGTATGCAGTTTTAGTGTATATATTTTTGGTTTGTTTGTTTGTTTGGTTTGTTTGGTTTGTTTGCTTGTTTTATTTCTTGATTCTTGTCGCATTTTTGAACGTTGTTCAAATATTCGTGGGTGGCTCTCCTTGTGGCAGCGTACAATCTACATATGTAATTCCCAAAAATATTGAATATATATTGAAAATCTAAGTACTACGACTGCGTGGGATAGCGACATCGGGCGACATACATACGTGTATTTAATCGTATTGTTCTTGATTTATGCTCTCTATGGGATTGCACATTTTCCACTTTTACTTGCATTTTTGATTGAAGTTCCATTACCCATACTCGTACTCGATTTTGCTTCATCTGCTTTAAACCCATTCATCCCGGGTTTATGACTTTTCTCATTCATTGAGAATCGCACTGAGACGCTCCTCGACAGCGACCTTGCGTGACTTCCATACAAACTCACAGACAGCTATGACACAGGCCACGCCCATGCCGCCCATTAGCACCACAAAAACACCACCCACATTGGCCAGGCCCAGTTCGTTGGCCGCCGACGATGACTTGGAGGTTTCCACGCGGCACTTGCCACCGCCGCGTTTCTCCTTCCACCATTTGGTTTTCAGTATATGCAGCTTTCCCTCCTCCTGCAGCTTGAGTATGACACTATTGATGGCAGTGCGGTAAGGTGAATCTAAATATATGGAAATGAAGATTAATGCACCCCGGGATGTGTCCATTTTTCGTGACCTACTTGGTGGTGTGGCAATGCCATAGCTTTTGGTGTCCAACATGCCGCCGACTTGCGTCAATTCGCAATTGCGTTCGGTCACATACTCAATGGATGTGGACTCCATCAGAAATGCATACGAACCTGAAGACATACATATATATGATGGGTATATTAAAAATTAAGTTTATAGTTTATTTTGACGCACCTTTGCCCTTGGCCACACGCTCGACGCCTTCGCCATTGCTGGCTGTGAAGACGGAGGGACGAGCTGATTCCATGAACGACCACATGCGCTGATATGTGGAGATCTTCGAGTCCTGTCAATTGCAATGGAAATAAATTCTTTGTCTTTGGATTAACTATTTCTCGCACTTACCCTAAAGAAAGCCGCTGTGCTGCCGCCCTTGAGGGCGCCGTATTTAATTCGCGTCTGCTTGGCCAAGTCCTCGGCACTCTCGATGGGCGAGTCCATGCGTTCGACAGTCAAAAAGGCAGCCAAATTGGCAGTGTACGAGGAGATCATAATCAGGGTGAAGAACCACCAAATGCCCGCCACCATGCGAGTGGATAAAGCCCTAAAAAACATTTAAAATTAATTAGCTCAAGCCAAGAATCCAAGTTATGGGGGCTCATTGCTTACTTGGGCAGAAAGTCGCAGCCTTGTTGCATCAGCGATCCAATGGCAAACCACATGCAGTTGAGCAGCGTGAACTGGCTCTCCACCTTTTCGCCATGGGCATCGGTGTAGGCTGGCCACTCGTACGGCGTGAATCTGTAAAAAAAAAACATTTTTCGTAGCAAATAAAATATTAATTACTTCAACGTACTTGGCCAGAATGAAGAGCAGCACGGAGACACCCAAATAGGCTGTGGCCATATAGATCCAAACGTCCAGCGACAAGGGCGACAGAAAGGAGAACAAGTTGGGCGGCTGCTTGATGGGTTTGCGGTACAGAATGGATACACCCAGATTCATGAAAGGTGTGGTAAAGTCCACAGCTTGTTCCCGCTCAAATGTGATGGTGAGATCCGCTATGGCCAGATCTGCACGCTGCTCCAGCAGGTCCCGTATCATCCCATTCCATTCTCTAAAATAAGGAATAAGGATTTCATTTAGGGTACTCTTGGGTGCCAATTAGCATTTCTTACCCCGTTAACTTATTTAAGCTGCCGTAGCTGCCATCGGGTACCAGTTGTATTTTATAGTTGAAACCTAGAGACTTGGAGATCTCATGAATGAGATCCACTGCATAGCCCTCGAACTGATCGTTGCCACTGAGCGGCACCGCCGATTCCTTGCGCATGCAATACGGATTGCTCTACACAGAAAAATCCAAGGATAAAGAGTTAATGGAATGAATCAGACAATTGGCTATAGCATTACCAGTATGGTGGTCACCACTAGCGTTTTGTTCTTCAGATTCGCCTCAATTTCCTGCTGCTTTTGGCTGAAGGTGCGCGTAAAGTTGATGCCATCGGGTAGGGTGGAGTTCCAGGTGCCGATCTTGCGTATACCCGCTGGGGTCAGCTCCACAATGTCCAGCATGAAGTCGGTGCGAAAGCCCTGATGATCGAACTTGATCACATTGGTGAGGCCCTTCATCTCGACGATCTTCATGTAGTTAATCAGGCTGAAGCCGTGCTGCCAGGTGCTCTGGCCGTCACAGCTGATCGGATGAATGTCGATCTGCTGCGAGGTGTCCAGATCGTGCAGTGCCTTGGCAAACAGATGCACCGCATCGTACATCAGAGCCGTCTCCGAGCGCACTGTGGTCAGATTGGCCGATCGCAGCAGGCCCTTCTCATCGATGCTCCACTGGCGCACCACATCCGAGACGATCTTGTCGTTGATTAGCCGAAATCCGGTAATATTCGTGCCGCCATACCGAAACTCATCCAGGTTGACGGTGTGCAGATCCAGCGATGTAACCAGATAGCTATGGTAGTCGCTCATCATTCCGATCTGCTGCGCCTGCTTGAGTACCTCGTGAATGCGTTCCGTGGAACAGTCCAGGACAATGTGCGCCTCGGCTGAGTTCTTGATTTGCTTCAGCAGAGGACTGTGTGTGGGTGGGGGTGGGGGTGGGGATGGGGCATAGGTGCATAGGGGCATGTTATGTGGGGCATGTAAATATTGTAAGTATATTATTCACGTACCGGTAATCCCCACTGTCGCTTAGCTGGCGCACTGTAATAGGAAACGGTGTCATGCCGTGTGCCTTGAGCAGCTCCTGCAATCGCACGATGCCGTCATTGTTCTCGTAGATTATGGTGAATGTCTTCCAGCCCCAATGCCGTACAATATCCACATAAGCCTTAATTCAAACACAACGATGTAAGTGGAAGTGGCAGTGGAAGTGGCAGTGCCAGTGCTAGGTTGCATATTCATACCTTTGAGAGTGTATTAGGATGCGGATAAAGGTTCACCAGGCAACTCTCCCGCCTCAGTCGGTAGTCCCAGCGATTCTCCAAATGTGGTATCTACAATGAGTGGGGGGAGGGCAGAGCACCATTATTGCCATTATCCTACTTTTGTAAGCAATTGCATTCCAGCTGCTTCATTCACATTCCCAAACACACACATTCAGCCTCATACTTACTTCCATGTTGTCACAAATGCTCTGTACATGGCTGGCGGTATGCGAGGATTGTGGTCCGAATATGGCAGCGACACCAATGTTCAATAAACCGCAAACTGAAAGACAAACAAAAGTGCACTTGGTCTATATAAAAGGAGAACGAATAGAAGTAGCAGTAGCAGTAGCTTAGAAATATTGAGACAGTTGTAAGCAGTTGGCTGGCTGGCTGCACTTTCAAAAGCTTACATTTGGAAACTTCATTATCGTGGTAATTCCCATGCCCATGCCGAATGCACCTCCCTTTCGAACAATTCCAAATTGACAATAAAACCAAACCGCTGAGAAATAGTATCAACCACAGACTCGTACTCCTACTCGTACATTGATTGCTGAACACATGTTCTGCGTGGAGCAAACTTTGTAGTTTTTCCTTATGGCAAATTGAGTGAAACACAAATCCCCCAAAGAGCTTAAAAGTCACAAAAATTGATTTCCAAGTAATATGCTGCCTTGGTTCAGTTTCCCATTCTCATTCGTTTCCCATTCTCCAATCTCCAATCCCCAATCCCCAATCCAATTTTATTCAGCTGAGCTACAAGCATCTGTATTGTGGGGGAAGATAATCTCAAGCTATGACTTGACTCAGGGGGCGCACGGATTCGCCAAAAAAAGGCACACAAAACAGAAAAAAGAGCCAAAGTAGCAGCGCAGTAATGTGCTTGGGGCTAGGGTAATGTTCAGTTAGCCTCGTTCGCATATTTAAAATGCACTTGAGTATGACATAATTTCATTTTGCCTTTTTGGCGTTTCCTTTCAACTCTCTCCCCATCCACTAAAATCAACCCCCACATCAACATGCCCATGCCAACCCTCTCTGTACGGTTGCCTCTGTCTGTCAGCATCCTTTGCCTCATCAAACCCACTAAGCACGTGTAAGTGCAGGTGCGGCTGCTGCAGCTGCAGGTGCAGGTGCACTTCGATGCTTCGAGTCGGTGATGCGGTTAACATCCTCTGGGCACATGTGTGTGTGTGTGTGTGTGTGTACGTCTCTTTGTATGTGCAATGTGGTGTGGGGGGTATATGGGGGAATGGCTTAGCTCAGCCCGGACTGGCCTGGCCCGGCCCGGCCCGGCTCGTTACTGTCGTGCTGAAAAGTGTTTTACTTTGGCTTCTCTTAATGGGCCGCAAGGTATTTTTTGGCCATGAGTATTGGGCTACCTTCAGCGTCGTTTGTGTCTCATTTATCACAGAATATTCGACAGTTGGGGGCGCTCCCTTTACGTCCTCCGCTGTCTCCCGCTTTACGACTTATCTGCAATGCTTAAACTTTTAACTTCCTTCTGCTTTTCTTCTTCGAGATATTAAACTTGAAATTGCATACTGAAAATTTGCTGAGTTTATTATCAAACATCTCAGATTGCTCCCCTGATGATGTTGATTTGATTGTGATGCTGCCATCCATTAACGTAATTTCAAGCTTATAAAGCTAATAGTTTTAGTACCAGGGAACTTGCAGTAATAGGGGGGGGAAAATGCATGGCAAATCAAATCAAATTATATACTTATATGTTCACTTTATCCACCAATCATCACATGCATAATTTAAATTTAAATTTATTTTTAGATTATTGAATATTACTTGTCTTGATGGAATTTGGACTGCTATTACCCTGCCTGTTGACAATTAGTGCTGCAATAAATTATTCATGATTTATATGGGCGCCCGAAATGTGCAACAATGCCATCAAGTTGCATTAATTGTCCGTAATGGAGTTACATACAAGAGAGTTGCCGGTTCCCAAGGCGTCAATTAACATAACATAAATCACAAATCAAATACGGATACGGATGCGCATACGGATGAGCAAAAAAAAAGGGTTAGAGTGAAGTCATAAATAAGAAAACAAAAGGCGAACACATCGCATCATCAGAGCAGAACAAAGGACGATATGGGAAAATGTCCAAATCAAATATGCAGCTAAAAGCATCAGGTAAAGGGCACGGCGCCAAAAGCAGGGCAAGGCAACAACTGGCGACCCCCGCCACTCACCACTCACCCCCTGAAACTCACCCCGTTTGCCGGCATGGAAGCTGTCGAAGGGGGAGATGCGCTCGATTTGGGCCACAAGCTTGGAGCGCGGCAGAATGGAGCGGTCGGCGTTGATGCGGTCCACGGCCTGGCGGAAGGCAAGCTCCTGATGGTCGTCGGAGGGATGAAAGAGCCCACCTGCGGCGATAAATGATAAAGGAAGGTAAAGAACCATGTTACAGATATGTAAATACAAATGTGTCCAATAATTTTGTTGCAGTGGGTATGGGGAACGGGGAGCTGCTGGAGCTCCACCGGGTATGAGAACGAAAACAAACAAAACACAGATACACACTTACACACTCGCGTATTTTTAGACACACACACACACACACAAACAAACATTTATAGAGAGGCACGCGCTCTTGATTATGACGTGAAAAAAATCGATACAGTGTAGAGATGCGATGCGTAAAATCGGATGGAATTTTGGATTCCATCGGTATATTTTTTGACAGCCCCTCAAGGATTCGTATCCGCAACTTACCAATCTTGATGATGTCTGGCAGTGCCGCTGCCTCTCGGCAATTGCAGATTAATTGGAGTAGCAGCAGCGGCAGCACCAAAAGTCGCCTGTTTTCCTTGCCTCTGGGTCGCATCTTCGGGCGGCTTTCAATCGCAGTTTACAATTTCAACTAATTAAATCACTTCACCCAATTGGCGCACTTATCTTCAGAGCACTCGCTTATCTTTCGGTGTCTAACAACTGATTCTAAACATTTTCACAAGGCGGCAAATTTCGCTCTGTTTTCCTTTTGCTTAGATGCTGCTGTTTTCTTATTTCCTTTTGAATTGCGCTCTAACGTTGCCTGTGAGGATGGAACATCCACTGAGCAGGCAACCTTTGATTTGCCTTCTTTTATCCTGTTGCAGGGCCTTCAGATTGGAGTGGGCCACCCGATGGCCTGGTGGTTTGTGTGATGTGTGTGTGGGGGCCAGCATCCAAATGCCGGCTGACAGTTTGAACAGCTGCGCAGTGGATGCTGAGCACGGACCAGGGTTACATTAACGTACTCTCGCATTGCCAGGAAGCTTTCCCTTCTGGTGGAAAAACACGAAAAACTCATAAATGAAATGCTTTAAGAAGCTTTCTGCAAGCATCAGACAGGTTGACAAAACGGCGAATTATTCCTACGAAATGAACGTGAAACGTCTCATTTAGGGGTTTAAATATGAAGGCATGAATGTATGGAATTTTAGAAATTATATTTCAAAGTATTCCTCCAGCGAACACTTCACAATCCAAAGATTTTCCACGTTCCAGTATGATTATAATAAATTTAAATATATTTTACAAAGATTGGAGAAGCTATTGGATGGGTTCAAATCCGCAGAGTAGCCAAAACATTTCTGTCCATTCGTTTAAGGGCCAGAATTAAATGATAGCTGACATTAAACCCGATTCTTTTGGCCTTTAAGCTGGGATTTTGGGCTGATTTGACCCAACGAATGAAATGTCAATGCAATAAGTTTGCTTCTTTTGAAAGCAGTTCCATGGAGAATTTTTATTTCGTGTAGCTGGCCGGCAAGGACACAAAAAGCAACCTCATCCTCAGCCTTTGGCCTTAAGCCCCGGGCCCACCCCGGACCCATCCCGGCCCATCCCGGTCTTCACCTTCGTCATAAGCTCTTTTCACATGCCGAAGAGGAAAAGGATTAAACAGCATAAAGGAAGCAGCCAACGAAACAGCAGCAACAGCAACGGCAAATAAATAAAACAGAGAAGCTCATTATGCCGTTGACCGCGTTCGTTCGGCTCAAAGTGCAGGAAGCATGGGAGAAGGGGGGAGAGAGAGCGAGATAGAAGCGGAAGTGGAAGTGGAAACGGTAGCTGGAGCGGTAGCGGCAATGAAATGGCCATGTGAATTGCAGGCGCGTAAATGTGAGAGTATTAACAATTTAACAAACAAAAGCAAGGGCCATTAATAACACACAGCTCTGTCGCTTAATATACAAAAAATGCACTAAAAGAATTATTTGAAATAAATGAGAAAAATAAATAATTACGTAAAATATCCAAAAAAATATGTATTTTTTATTTGTGTTATGGTTTTTTGTATTTTTAGGTTACCAATGCATGTCCATGTAAATTTTGAATTCGATATTCGATGTGCCTTGAGCTTTATTTTCTTGCAGTGTACATATGTATATGGCGTTGCATGTGTAGTTGTGTGTGTTTGTTTGTGTGTGTCTGCTGTTGTTATTGTTGTTGTGGGCCATAAATACAGAATGTCGTTTTGGGGCAAAGTCGTAGCAAGTCGCGCTTGGAAATGCGCAAAAATATCATTGAGCTCGGTTGCCTGGCAAATGAGTTGAAGTTAAGTCCGTGGCAGAGTGGCAGAGAAATGCCAGTGTATGTGTGTTTGCGTTGTGGCTGCCTCTCTGTGTGTGTGTGTGTGTGTGTGTAATCATGCATATCTTTTGCCAGCGGGTTTTTCGGTTAGTGCCTTATTTACATTGGCCGGAAGCTGCTGGTTGTGCTTGTTTCCGCTTTTGTCTGTGCGACTTCATCACCATCTATTCCATTCACTCCTTCTGCCTGCCACTCCCACTCCCACTCTCTCTCTCTCTCTTTGTTGTGTGTTCTCTGCCGCTCAGTGTAGTCTTGCCGCTGTTGTCGCCACGCGTCCTCGTGGCAATGAAGTAGAGCAATGGACTGGCTCATTAATTTCAACATAACGCGCACATGGCCAACAAATTTTACCCGAACACTGACACGCCACACATAAATTTCACGTAGACACAGATACCCACACACAAACACACACAAACACATACAAGCGTACGAAATTCCTGCATAGTTTGCCGTGGCTTTTGGCGGTAATTATTTTAAATTAAACCAGGAAAGCACTTTTCCAGCAGGTGCTCCTGGTGCTCCCAAAAGTGTGTGCAGCGCATTATTAGCATCAGTCAGTGGAATTTCCACTATAGAAGAATGGAAGTATCTGTGTATTTGTATCTGTATCTGTGTATCTGTGAGGTGTGTGGGTGAGCTACCATTGTGTTTGTGTGTGCGTGACCCTGGCTGATTCGACGTGTCCGGGTCCCTTGAGCATGAGAGTGCACTTTGATTTTGTTTACTCGCCAGACACGAAGAACCCAGATACTCGTACTTGGATGAGGTCAGAAGTGAAAGTGTGACTAACTTCTCGACTCTCTCCTCCATCTGTCTGGCTCTTCGCCAGTCTGTCTGTCTGTCTGTCCCTCTTTTCCCCCCTGCATGTACGTCTGTCAATTGTCTAGCCTTCGTTAGCCCTGCCATTGGGTTTGTTTTATTATCCCCCAAATGCTGACAAGGTTTGTTGGTCATGTCCGCCGACATTGAGGTCTAATAATGTTTCATATTGCAAATAAGACAAGTAACATACATATATTCGACCCACATGAAGGCTATCCTTGAGCCAGCTAAAATATTTATACTGTGCCTGAGCTGTGGACAATTTCTACCAGCTTTCTGTGAAATTCCAGAGTGGAGAATCCACTCGGAGTGGATGAATTGTGATGTGCATTTATTATTGTATTATTATTGTATTTGCAGGTTGCTCAAAAGAATGTGAAACTATGCCAGTAGTAAATGCAAGACTTTGTTCCTCATGTGCTGTTTGACTTTCATTTCTTTCTCTTTCCACATTGTATTTCAACTTTGAACATTGCTGGACATCCAACGACCGAAATTACCACAACAGACAAACCACAACAAGAGCAACTTTCATTAGTGGCTTTGCCTTGCTGATATTAAAAAAAAACAAAAAAAAAACAAAAACAAAAAAAAGCGTTGCATACGTCCTGGCGTATTTCTATCCCTCTGCTTTGTTTGTGTTTTTCCAGCCGAAAGCAAAAAGAAAATAGAATGAAACAATTGTTGGCTCTTTGTTTTTCACTTTTAATTAATTAGCCGCTTAAGCATTTAAGGCATGCTGCAAAGTGATTTGCAGAATTTGCAATTAAGAGCGAGCATTTTTAACTTTTAACTGGAACATCAGGAAAGCTTTTAATATTTGCAAATTAAAAATACACGTACACACATATATATATATTCCTACTCTGGCTGGAAATTTAATTTGCCTTGCAGCTCAATTCATAATTGTATGAGGCAGGTGACTCCTGTCAATTAAATGGCGCACAAAAAGCCACTCAAGCTGCTTTTAGTGAGTGCTCTCTGCCACACTCTCTTAGCGTCGTATTGCCTATACATACTCCCATATTCCAAGGACACTTTTATTAGTATTTTTAGTGCATTCGACAGGCAACGTTACGGGTCTGACACTGATAGAGAGATGACTAGCACGAGGCACGAGTCGACCTACGAAGAGTGGCACAGCCTGCAGGTGGCCCCGGTCGATTTATATAAAAAGAGGAAACTAGAGAAAACATTGAAGGACGTTGTTTAATTCCCTGTCATCTGCTTGGATTCCTCAGCTGAATAGGAATCGCTTGCCTGCTTTCTGGCTAACTTTCTCTGCCCAGCGTTTATGGGCGCCTTCAAATCCACTTTGTAAGTCATTCCTTTGGTAATAAAGGCGAAAGTGAGTGCCGCTAATATAAAATTGAATTTAAATAAATGGAGTCGAGGCCGTAAAATGCCGAAAAGCACGACGCCTCGACTCGACTCAACTCGCCAGAGTCTTCGATTCTGATTTGATTTGTTTGCGTGGGACGCACCAGGCGCCGCCTGCCACACGTCTCTTCGAAGGCACACGCCCAGCACTTAGGCGCTATTTGATATGCAACAATCTTTGGCAGCAGCCAAAAAAAAAAAAAAAAAAGTGGAGGAAAAGCAATAAGAAGCAGCATAATCATCCTCATCAGCAGCAGCAGCAAGAGGCAGCAGCAGAGAAATGTCGGAGGAGGAGCGCACTCGAGCGCGGTGGCTCTTTGTAATAAATCTTTGAGAAAAAATGTGGCACGAAATCGTTTTAATTTATTCATGCCACGCGCGTTCACTTTCTGCTGATTGAGCGATGCGGGGCTGGAGGGTAAGGTTAAAGCCATTGATTAAAAATGCAAAGGACTGCACTGCGCCGATCCTTGAGGCTCCAAGTAGATACACACTGACATGCAGGCTCCGTCCAAGCCTGCCGCATGCCACCTGCCACATGCCGTTCTCCTGCTGAGCCTTTGGCTTTGACTGTGGCCACATTATGCAAATGTTGTTCATACAATTTGGTGGCAAGCTGCTGCCGAACCCAAACTTGCTGCTACCGTTACAGCTACTGTTACGGCCTCAACTTGTGCTTGTGCCTTGGCTCTTTCATTAATTAGACGACAGCCTGTTAGCCAGCTAATTAAAGACCCGACCTACAAATTGCCAGCTTGTGTGGGCCATGTGGGATAGATTTAGGCAATTAGCCTCCCACACTTCACTCGCAATCCTTTCCAAGTGGGCTGGGATTTATCCAACTCACTTCCTGTATCCCCCTCCCACTCCCACTCCTATTCCATTGCCAACCCTCCAGCCATGTACCCAACAGCCAGCGGAAATTTCAAATGGCTGTTAGCGAGATTGTCATGCTCGTTGCTTACCTGTACAAAAACATCTGGCTGCCGCTCCTGCCACTTCCCAGGCGTGTCCCTGCCACCTGATTGTACAATTTCCACTCACAAGTGCTGACAACGGTTGAGAGTCTATTAAAAATGGATTATCAGTGTGATTGCCACCAGTCCTGGCAGTCAACAGTGTCAACCGTACAAGTAAATACAGCTACTCCTGGTATTTCCCCACCTATATAGCGCTCACAGTTGTTTGAGTTGAAATGTTTCAATTAGCCAGGCTCACCTGGAGCTCTGCCTAAAGAGCCACACACCATGGAGCTGCCACTCGACAGCACATGTCCATGTGAGTGAGTCCACCGGGGAGAGAGAG